CTCTCCCGACCTGTTGGACACAATTGCGGGCAAAGCTGTGCGCGCTTGCTGCGGCGGGGCAAGCTTGTTTCGACGGAGGCGGTGGCGTTGCTGCAGCGTCGGGTGCTCCTGATTATGTCTGCCATGTGTTTGTGGTGAGCTCGTCTGTGCTGGCCGACGCCCATTCGGCTGCGTCGAGCCTCGCGCTATCATCTTGCAGGCTCTGCGCGCCGTCGGCGCCCGCGGCCTTCGCACCTGGGCGCCCGAAGACGAGCGTCTTTCAGCGATGGAGGCGGCCCCGTGGACCTCGCTGGGCGACTGGTGAGCGGGCGCCGAGGCGTCTAGCTGGAAATGCGCCCTCGCGCGCTGACGTCGCGCCGGAGCTCCCGACGCCCGGGCGCCGTCTCGCGAGGGCGGATGCGGGCGGCGGCGGGGGCGGCCGCGTGGCCAGGAAGGGGAAGTTCGACTCCGTGAGATTGTGGAAGGCCTCGAAGTTCCGTCGCCGCCGGCGATCATCGCGAGACTTCGCGGCGGCTCTCGCCGACGCCCGCGCGCGCGACCGCGACCGGGGGCAGGGGGGCGGGGGTGTCGGCGATGGCGCCGCCCGGGCCCCCGCGGATCAATCGACCCGTCGCCGCCCCGGCCTAGGTCGCCGACTTTGACCGCCCCCCCGCGCCCGCGCGGCTGCGGAGGTCGGCGTCCGCGCGCGGGGCCGGCGGCGCGGCGGGGCTTGCGCGCGCGGGGTTGGACGCGAGGAGGGCGGCTAGACGAGCCTGCTGCTTGCTCCCTCCTCTCCCTCCCCCCCCCTCCGGATTTGCTGATGCAGGGGGCGCTCCTGCCGGGGTCGCGCGAGGTGCTGCGGTGTCTCGCGCAAAGCTGGATGGAGTGGTTTCTTTAGAGTAATTGAAGATCTATCGTGATTATTGATGCCGCGCGGTTTCCCCGTGGATTTGGCGCGGGCCTGTGGGGGGCGGGGTGGTTGGGTGGGGGGCCGAGGTCGGCGGTCTGGGCCGGGGCGGCGATGGGCGCGACCCACCGTGATCCACCAGGGCCAGCTTCGGGAATGGTCTTCGACGCGTCGACGTCGCGCCCGCGCTGCTCCGCCGTCGCCAGTGTCACGCTGGCCGCATGTGCGATCTGATCGAATGATTATTTTTGTATATTGATGTCAGCCCCATCCGCGGCGCTTAATGTCAAGGCGCAGTTGGTGCCGTTCCGAAGAGTTCTGGCTTATTTTACCGCTCTGCGCGCCCTGGGGCTCCACTTGATGCGGCCGCGCAGACTTGGCGTCGAAGGGGGTGGCGTTGCTTTGGGGTGCGTGTTTTTTTGTGGCCATGATGAGGGCGACGTGGTTTACTTTTGCCAGGGAGTCACTGCAGTCGCCGCGGACGCGGGGTCGGACAGGATGACCGTCCAGGTGCCGAGTGGGCGGGGTGCTCTCTGGAGGTGGGTGCGCGGCTTTCGCCGGGCAGAGCGAGCGGCTCCTGCCGCGTGCCTGCCGCGTTAGTGGGTGGGGCCACGCATTCGGCAATTTGTCCAAACTCTGCTGTCAGACGCGGGCGGAACGGCCTCGGAAAATCGCGCGCTCGCGGTCCTTGGGCGCGCTCTTCAAAACGCAGGAACATGGTGCGAACATGTCAGACCGGACCTGGGCGAGGATCGACCCGATCTACATCTCCGAGTGCCGGGCCGCTTCGCCGCGGATTTCGCCGAATTGAGATGCAGTGCCATCGAAACTGTTTCTGTCGCAAATGTCCTCCCCGGAGTGGTTTCGCAGATATCTCGAGCCAGAATGGTCTCGCAATTGCCAGGGCCCCGCAACGACCGCATCAGTCTTGAGTCTTCGCCGCATTTGTCGATGCCGCATGGTTGAAGTCCATTGTGCGCGAGGGGGCGCGCGCGTTTACGCAGCGCGAGCGGGGTCGGCGTTGGGGGTTATGCGCGCGCCCCGGGCATGTCCAGAAGCGCGCAGAGGCGCGTGCTCAGGGGCAGTCTATCCCTCTGGATTGTTCTTGCAAGTCCCGCAGGCTCCCAGGGGCTTTCGACATAATGCCGCAGTCGTCGATGCAGTATCTTGACAAGGCTAGGGCGCTCGCGCATGATGACGCGGGGGGCGACGAGACCGCGCGCAATGCCGCGATAGTGATGTTGGCATTCTTGGGCGGGAATGTCCTGAACAGGAACGCATATTTGGATGCGCCGCCGCGGTCGCGCTCGCGCCTCGCCCGAACATGGCGCCGGGGCTTTCTTGCAGAAGGTGCGCCGAGTTCCAATTCGACTTCGCGGCCTTGTCGCGCAGCGGCTCATGGCCGCGCGCGATGGCGACGTCCAGGAGGGGGGTCGCCGATGGCCGCCCAGCGCGGCCTCGGCACCGGGGCCGAGCGAGGCGTTATGCGTTGGGGCTCCTGGGCAAGCCCCGCGGGGGGGGATGCCGCTGCGGCGCGACCCGTGGGAAGAAGCTGGCCCATGCGTGCGCTTCGCAACACCTTGAGCAGAGCGTGCGGCAAAAAACATGTTTCGATATCAGTTGCGATTTCAGGGGGGCTCGCGGTCAGGTCGGCGATGCAGTTTCGCGTTTCGAGCGGGGCAGGCTCAAGAGGATCTCGCGGCCCCCGGGCAAGCGCCGATGGAAGTCTGTGCCCGTGAAGCTGGGTTTGTTTTGCATGCGGGTGCGCCGCGAGGGCGACGCGGCGCAGGGCGCCTGTGGCGCGGCGGCGGGGCCTCAGCCCGACCCGCGGCGCGGCGTCTCTGAAGACGTCGGTCGGCTCCAACGGCTGCAGATCGCGCGCGCGGTGGCTGCGGTCTAGGTTGGCGGGCGCTGCGGCGCCCCCGCGTCTGCAGCCGATGCGCGGGGCGCGAAGCAACGAGTCTGGCGAGCGAACGTTCGGGTCGATTCGGGGTCTCACCAACAACCCCCCCGTCCTCCTTCCCCGTTTCAATATATGCCAATGAGCATGTCCACGCGCGTAATTTCAACATTTAATTATGTTACAACCCATCCGTATCCTCTCCTCCTCCCCCTCCTCCTCCTCCTCCTCCTTCTCAATGGGGGGCCGACGTCCAGTTTCCAAGTCGAATATGTGTCGCCTCAGGGGCGCCGCGTGGGAACCCATGCCCAAGTCACTCCCTTGATTCGCGGGAAAAGAGGCGTCGGCGCGCAAGGCGCAGTACGCCAGTTTCAATGACCCCCGCTTGAAAACTCGCTGTGCCCCGCCATGTCGCAGCGGAGGAAGGCAGGGCCTTGTCCTTCTCTTCGCCCCCCTGTTCCTTCCCCGCCTTGGTCTCCTCCTCTGCCGTTTCCTCTTCCCCCATGCCTTTGCCCTTCTTCGCCACGCCATTCCCTTTCCCCCCTTCGGCGAAGCGCCGTTCGTTGTGCTCGCATATCCGCGCCCTGTTGAGATTCGACCGGGCGGTTCCGAACGGGTGCATGATCGCAAGGTATTTTTTTGGAGGTCGCGCGCGGGAGGTCGCGGTCCCATGTGATGCCGATTGCAGAAAGTGCAGATGATGCGCAGCTCGTTGCCCCCCAGGCGCTCCGCGTCGCGAGTGAGGCCGAGGCCGCGGGGCCGCCCGGCGCAGACCCAACTAATTGCGTTGAGGGCAGTGATTCCCGAGGGAGGCCCTGTGTTGGTCAAGTCGTTCTCAATTGCGCCGTTCCCTCAGTTTTACGCTGCCGCTCAGACGTGGAATCGGTCGGAGGCCTCTGGCGATCTGCCTGGCGCACGTGTTTTTTCAGAGAAGCAACCCGTTCGCCAGCTGTGCGCCATGCTGCATCCTAGGTGTCCCACCCGTGCGATCGTCCAACGCCTGAGGGCGCGTTGATGGCGAGCAATGCAACGCCCGATCGAGCACGTGAGCACTGCTATCGGCGACGTGGACGGCAGCGAGGCCATTCGGATGAAGCCATGCTACCAGGTGCTTGATTGCATCGAGAAGTTCGCGCAGCTCTCTTCAAGGATCCTTTCGTGTCAGCGAATGAATTTTGCGAATGCCACTTGCGAGGCATCACTGTCGAGCCTTGTCAGTCGAGCAAACAGTGCGCAGTCTGTCTCAATCGAAAATCTGGCAGGAAGGGGGGCACCTGGCGCGACATGTGGCCATGCAGGATGTGCCCGACCCCGGCCGTTGCTTGCCCTGGGTGGCGGAGCCGGCGACGATGGCGTCGGCGGCCCGCTGCCTTTTCAGGATGCTCCTCCGCGGTGTCGGCCTGAACGCGCGCGCGAGCGGCGCGTTGGCGGCCCAGGAGCTTCGGGCGGCCCGTCCGAAGGGGGACCTGCGTTGTCGGCCGCGCAGCCGCTCGCAGATGCTGCATCAGGGAACGGCGATGATGGCGTGGGCGGCGGAGGCGATGCGGTTGGCGGCCACGCAGTGCCTGGCCCCGTGTGCCCTCTGGCGCCGCATCTCCCCAATTTTTTCCCGCATCTCCTGGTTTCTCTTTCCTCTCATCGAGATCTCCGCATCATTTCTCCTAGACACAGCTCCCACATCGGTCACCTCCTTTTTGTCCTTTTCTGCTTTACGCTACCAGAGCTTCATGCGTTCCCCGACCATAGCCGAGCCGCAAACCCGATCGCGAACCTACAGCCTCAACTCCAAACCTGATTGCGAACCCCAAGCCCGATCGCGAATCTACGCAATCATAATCGTAAGTCTAGAGCCTGGAGCCGTTGAACTTCCCCCTCTACCACGACAATACGTCTTGGGCAGCATGAGTGCAACAAGCTCGCGCTGAACCCCCCCCTGCCCAACCCGAAGTTCGAGGTGTCCCGTCTTAGGTTGGTGTGGGCGTTTGGGCTGCGTTGACGAGGCGGCAACCCCAGCGCTGGCGTTTAAGGTTGAACGCCGCCAGTACTCAGTAGCCTGGATTCTGCCGATATCGAGAACACGCGCTGATCCACGAAGTGTCAGAAATCAGCGCAAAACGTCATCGCAACGTGAATTTGCTATACCCTGCCTTGTCCTGCATTGTGGCCGTGTACACAAATCCCTTCCGCGTGCGCATCTGCGCCTAGCCGCCCGAGGTGGCGCAGCACACGCTGGGGGGCGCCCGGGGCCACCATTTCTTGTCGGCAGCGGCCGAGCTGGTCGGTGCAGACCCCGCTTTGGACGCGGCCGCCGTGGAGTACGCGGCGCAAGTGTTCCAGGATTCGGGACAGCGCGCGGGCGACGAGGAGGGGGACTGAGTGGAGGGGAGGAGCGATGAGCAGGTCAACAGGGAGAGTGGAGGAAGAGCAGCAGAGAAGCACATATATCATATGATGAGCAGGAGGACGCGCGCTCCCGCCAGGTCAAGCAGGCGAACCCTGCCCCGTCCAGTGTGAGGGGGTGAATCAGGAGTAGGAGTTGCAAAAGGATACGCATCACGATAGGATGGGGATGCTGCTGCTGCTGATTATGATGATGATGATGATGATGATGATGATGATGATGATGATGGTGATGCTGATGATGATGATGATGCTGATTATGCTGATGCTGATGCTGA